CTTTTCCTCTGGAGTCTCCACCATTTCCTCTCTAGGATGATGGAAGGTGGGAGTGGGGTTGGCTATGGAAGTTGTAACGGGGAAGAAGGTCACCGGGGGTCTACTGGGGGCTGGGTCTGCTCACTGCTGTGTCCAGAGGGCACAGGAGAAGCCTGCTGGAGCAGGACAGAAGGGTCCAACTGTGCCAAGGGTCTAACTGTGCCAGCAGCAGAGCAAGCCGCGGTCTCAGGCTGCAGCCCTAGCGGAGGGCAGGCTGGTGCGGCGAGCCGCCTGGGGGCCTAAGGGCGCTGGCGGGGGCCGGCGGGTAGGAGTAGGGGTCCCCAAATGCCTTCATTTCAGCCCATCCTTCTCCACCGAAACCTAAAGCAGGTTGACGAGATCGCCTCCTCGCCCGCTCAGTCCTGAAGTGTCCAAGGATGAAATTATGCCGAAATTCTCCCTGTCTCTCTGCTTGCGGGGAAGCGCCGGGACTGAGGAACAGGGTCCACAAAGGCTGTGCGTGAAGGGGCTTCTGACTTGTCCCCCGGCCCCGGCGTCGCTTCTCTCTCCCAGGGCTGCGGCTGCTGCCTGGCGGGCGCAAGCCGGGCGGCAGTGCGCGGGGGGTGCGCTTACATAATCGCTGGCCGCGTCCTGCTTTCTAGCGCGCTCCTGCACCGTGGGGTGGCGGAGCCGGGGGACTGGATGAACCCGGGCCGCCCCCGCGGGGAGAGGAGCGCGAGCGGCCGCGGGAGGAGGGCGCCCGAGGCGGCGGGGGAGGTTAAGGTCAGTGGGTGTGAAGCGCCGGCTCCACACCCCCTCCTCCCCGGTCCCCTCCTTCCCTTCCTCTCCGTCCCCCTCTGACGTCTGGAGCTGGCAGCTCGGCCGGTTCCGCATTCCCGACCCCTCCCCGCCGCCCAGGGGCCGCTATATAGCCGGGGCTGATGCAACCCGTCCCGCCGCCCGCCACAGCCTGCGGGAGGGACGCTCGGCGGCCGCGACGGGGGGCGCTGGCGGCGGGGCTGGCGCCGCGGCGGCTCCCGGGCCGGGACGGGCCTGGGCACCGGGCGGAGCTCCGCGGCCGGGCGGCAGCGGCGCGGAGCGGGCACGGCGCCTGCAGCCGGGCCCCGGCCCCGGGGGCGCCGCCTCCGCCAGCAGCTTCTGCACGGTGGGTGCGAGGGCGCGCGCTGGGGGCGCCGGGCGGGGCGGGGCGGAGCGGGGCGCGGCGCGGGCACCTGGGACGGCCGCCCCCGCGCGGGCGGAGCGCGAGGAGCCCCAGCCCAGCCCAGTCCCGCCGGGAGGCTCCCGCAGCCCTGGGATCCCGAGCTTTCCCCGCGCGGGGCGCTGCAGCCGGGCCCCTCCCGCGAGGCGCCCGGTAGCCTGAGGCTTCCTTTTGGTTCCCGCCCCGGGACGGGAGGCTCCGTCCGCTCCCTGGGCAGCCGGGCGCTCCCTCCTTCTCCCTCCCGCGCTCTCCTCCCCCGTCCGTTTGCAAGGAGGTGCTCTCCTCGGGCGGCGGGGAAGGCGGGGTGAGTGGGGAGAAAACTGCCCGCGGAGACGGGCCGTGCGGGTGGAGATGGAGGGTGTAGGGCCAGGGAGGTGCGGGGTTGGCGTGGGAGTTCGATTGTGGAGGGATGACAAGGACCTGCTGGCAGGGAGGAAGCGCGACTCCCGGAGGACCCGCTCCCGCAGGCGGGTATTGAGAAGGGCTCGGGATTTCCATCCAATGAAGGCAGCTTCTTTCATGGCCATTGCTCTGGGGCTCTGGGCTGGGAAGGGATCTAAGGGTGACCGGGGTCCCCTTTGGGCTCTCCTGTCTCCCACGCCAGGTTATATAAGGAGGCAAGCAGGCTCCTGTAGGTAACAAGCCTCTCCCTTGCCCAGCCCAGCTTAGAAGGTTCTCCTCTGCTCCTCCCCTCAAAGGAGGTTGTCGAGAGGTAGGGGGGCAGTGGGGGCTGGGGGGGAGGTGTGGGGGTGGGTTTTCTACCTGGACCCCTGGACCCTGGGGTGGCAGGCCAGGCTTTGCCTGGGTCACTGGGAGGAGCAGGGAAGATGGGAGGTCCTGGCTCTTTTGCAGGGATGGAGAGGCTGGTGGAAGGAGAAATCAACCGACCCCTTAGGTCATCTCCAGTTGCAAGATGGCTTGGCCTTTGCCCAGGGTGCTGCCCTCCCTATTGGCATCCAGGGCATGGGGATATGGCCTGACCACATGTGCTGAGGGCAAATGTGCTCAGGTCTGTATCTCAGAAAGGGCTCGCAGCCTGCTTAGGCGTGTGTATCCAGGCTTAAATCTTGGTGAACTCTCGCCAGGGTCTTAATTTGAGGAGCATCAGGAACTGGGAAGCTTTGAACCATGTTTGGGTACCTTTGTGTCCAAACGTCCTTTAAGTCCTTGCTAGGAACTGCATCCACCTATCATCTCCCTTCCCCTCAACCTCCTTTCCCTGAGGGTTTTTAAAAAACGCTTCCCATTGCTTTTACCTTTCCAGCAAATCTAGCTGCAGCTTGGATGGATGGCTTATCTTCCTTTGCAGGTTTCTAGGGGAGCGTTTAACCAGGTATCAGGCGTGAGCGTGGCTCTGATTTTATATAAACCTGAGGATGGAGGAAGAGAAGCAAAATCTATTCTCATGCCTCTGGGTGGTTAAGGTTTTGCCTTGTTTAGAGCAGGGAGGATGGATTTCTCAAAGACTCTTCTGTTCCCTACTACTTTGGCTTTGGTTCAGAGCTGCAGGCAGCTCCAGAATCTTCTTGAAGAGCTGGGTGCTGTGTGATTTGAAGGGCTGCAGGAAGTCCTGCGTGTGTAGCCTTCAGGCTTTTCTTCTAGGTTGGCTGCAGCCACCTCCAAGGAGATGTGTTGCAAAGTGGTGACAATGTCCCCTAGGAAGTGTTTGGATAAGGGTCTTCCCACTCACCTACTGCCTAACTTCTGCAGGTAGCAGGGAATGCTCCTTATGACTCCTTGGGTCTGTTTTCATCCCCCTACCTGTTTGCAGGGTGTATGGGCATCTTTTCCAACCTGCAGAATCCTTGGCAAGAATAGGCTCTCTGGGCCTCGTTTGTCGTGGGCTACTGGTGTTGCAATGGGCTGTCTCTCTCCAGTGTCTGTTTCCAGCTCCACTCTGGAAAGAAAGGGGCCAACGCCGACTCTAGGCCGGCCTGCTCTGTATTCATTCAGCCCCAGCTCAGCTTGAGCAATCAGAGCCAGGGTTGAGGGCAAGCTACATTCTTTTCAGCCTTTCTGCTGCAGGATGCAGTTTGCTTTTTTTCCATACGAATGAATTATGTTTGAAACCGAAATGGGAGGAAGAGAAAAATGGAGTGAGTGTGTATGGGTATGTGTGTGTGCATGCCTATATAGGCAGGGGGAGAGCAGCAGGCACATTATTTTTCCATTTTCCTTTAATTAAGGCTCTGTGGAGGTGTGTTTGAAAACAGAGGGTCTCCTATGCCTTTGAGGAGGGTGAGAACACTGTTTTGGCTGCGTCCTGGGCCATATGCAGCATATGGTGGCCAATGAAACCGGGCCTGGCTCGTTCTGTTGCTTGTCTTGGCAGTCGGTTCCGTGGCTTGTATTACCAGCTCTGGAACTTAGGGGCTGCCAAGCTCCATGTGCGTGTGTGTGTGTGTGCGCATTTATGTTCACACATGTTCTTGTGTGTGTGTGTGTGTGTGTGTGCGTGCGTGCGCGTGTGTGTGTGTGCGTGCGCGCGTGTGTGTGTGGTTTGGCCTCTCGGAACTCAGCAGAGACAAATGCCTTAGCGACCCAGTCTTGGAATTTTCAGCCTGTGTTTCTTTACTTCTTGCTGGCTGTGGGAGGCCTGGCCAGAGCCCACCATTCTTAGTTGTTGTTTTTTAGTCCATTTTCTTGCTGTAGCCCACAGGATTTAGTTGGGGAGCTCCAATTGCAAAGCTTCAGCTGGCCAATGGCATTTTTTTTTAAAGACCAGGGCGGTTACCACAACTTATGTGTGTGTCTGTGTTAGGTGTTGTACTGTTAACCCCTGCCAGCCACCAAGGACCAGAGCTGGCGTGAAGCAGGAAGGGGAAATAGAAAGCTTGTCCAGTGGCTGAACGTTCCCAGCTGCTTCTTGCTGCCTGGGCTAAGGATCCCTGGCAGAGATAACTTCATGTGTATTTATTGAGCACCTACATTAGGCAGAGGACAAAGCTCTGTTTATAGGCAAGGCCTCAGAAGCATTTCTCTGGTCTCTAGGGAAGAGCAGGAGTTCCCTGGGGGATGGTTCCAGGTTCCTCTATGGCTGGGATGGCTGTGCAGGATCATGGCTACCAGGGTCCAGTGGCTTCTCCTGAACCCAGCTACCCCTCGTTGTCTTCTTCTGAAGCAGTGCAGGGATGGACAGATTGAAGGACACAGAAGATGCTGGCTCTCTGCCTCGGGGCAGGAATGGAAATCTAGCTCTTGATGGCACCTTGTTGCCAGGGTCTGTGCAGCCATGTTCTGGCCTGCAAGGTGAAGCAGACCTTAGAGGAAACTGAAGCCAAGGGCAGGTGCTGGGCCCCATTTCTGCACCTTTGTACCCAGCCCTGACCTGGCATACTTTGTTTCTATTCTTCAGTTAACTGTCAGGATGCAAGACGGCCCTGCCCCCTTGGGGTTTAGAGCTGGAAAGTGGGAGAGCAGAGAGTCCTCTGGGGAGAATCCTCTTCATGGCTGCAGGAAAGAGAGACTAGTCCAGAAGGGACCTTGAGGGGTCATCTGGCGCGAGTGCCCCTCCAGGAAGGAAGGCCCTGGTGGCCACACTGACTTCACACTCACTACGTGCAGGCACTGCTCCAGGTACTTTCCAAGTATTAACTAATTTAATCCTCTTGACAGCCATACAGGGCAAATAACATTGTTATTCTTACTTTACAGCTGAGGAAAGGGAGGCACAGAGAGATTAGGGAAGTTGCCCAAGGGTACACAGCTAGGAAGGGGCAGAGCTAGGATTCACACTCAGATCATCTGGCTCCCGAACCACCACTCTTACCCCACCTTCCTCGTGGTCTACAGAGCTGGGACCATCTGAAGAGGGCCTTTTGCTGCTCGACTTCACTCTCAGTCTTGGGGCCTTCCCCATCGTCTTGCCTCTCGCCTTCTGGATCCCTCAACTTTTGGAAGCTGCTTGACCTACATCATTCAGATTCCAAGAGAGAGGTCATCCTGGGTGACTCCTTAGCTCCAAGAAGAGGCTTGGTGATTGATTCTCCAAGATTCATGGTAGCAGGTGCTATGCGCCATGATCACTGGCCTGTCACCTTTCTGCCCTTCTCTGTGGACTCCTGCCCTCTGCATCCTGTTCTCTCCTGGGAATGCAAGAGCCCACTTCTCTTCTTGAGCCTCAGTTGCCATTGCCCATGCCCTGCCCTCAACTTCCAACCCCTCATTTCTCATGGGGCTTGCCCCTGTAAACTCCCCCTTTCCTTGACTTGCCACTCTCACCTCCACATTCTCTTGGCACCAAGCCTTGGCCCTTAGGCTGTCTGCACCCATGTGCGTACCCATTCCTATTCCCTATTCCCGATGGCAGCCCAAGCCAGCTGCTGGCCTGGAGAGGAGCTTACCTTCTCGAAGAGGCCCAGGGGTTTTATAGCCTCCTTTACAGTTTTGTTTCTACGGACAGGAAGTTCATGGTGCAGTTGCTAAGTTTCCCTTAACCTGTCTCTTTTTATTTACCCGTCTTTGCCATTCTGGATGAAAATGCTGATTATTGGGCACTTTCTAACAAGAATAGCCCTTACAAATTTGACGCATAAAACAAGACTGTTATTTGTTTATAGATACTCCGCTTAAAAAAGATTTAAGGTATTAGGTTGGTGCAAAAGTAATCTCAGTTTTTGCCATTGAGCGGAATGGCAAAAAGCACGGTTAGTTTTGCACCAACCTAATACCTTACAGATTTACAAACAAAAAATGAGAGAACCTTTAGCTTTTCTTTTGGCTGAAATGTCTCTTCATGTTAATATCTCCCGGGAGGGTCTATTTTCTAGACTTGAAATGTTTTATGGCTTTTCTTCTGCTTCTATAACGCAGTGCCCTAACTGTGTGCCCGCAGCCCACTACTGAGGAAGAGTAGAGAGTACAGCTACCAGACTCTTTTTTTTCTTTTTTTTTTTTTTCCAAGTTCTTTCCTCTTGGATCCATCCGGTCCCCATTTTCTTCTAGCTGGCTTTCAGGGAGCTGCTGCCTCATAATCTTAGGATCAGCAACTGCTTAGGGTTCACTGTGACCTTCTGAACCTCACCTGACTGATTCATGCCTTGCTAGTCAATCTGCCTCTTGGATTTGTGCTTCACCCAGCCTTCCTTCATTGGCTGGCTTCTAGCTTATTCCTGGTCAGTGTCCCACATTGCCAAAGTCTTCTTGGATTGCAGGCCTGTATATTGAGGCACGAGCCCCATTTCCCAATGTTGGTGTTCTGCTACCAAATAGAGCTTGCTCCTTACTTATGCCCCCTAGTTACTCCTGGAGACACCGAGGGTGTTTATCTGCCTTTCAGACCTCCTGGGCCCTGAAGAGAAAAAAACTCTGGTTTGTTCTCCTGAAGCTTTTAGTGCGTAGTTCTTCTTTTCCTACTAAATTGTTTCCGTATGGAACAACAAGTGTGGGAGATGATTTCACCTCTTGTCATCTTTCCTAGACTTCCTTGAAGTGGGTAAGTTCCTTCTGGCTGTTACTTGTTCCTTGCTGCTGCCACCTCCACTGCCCCCTCCCCCCTTTTATAGATCCCTAAGTCACATCAAATTGTTTTATTTTTCAAATCACTAAAGTTGCCTTTCCGCCTTAGATCGTCAGCCAGCTCTTTGCAGTTAATGAGAATCCAATTATGAACGGCAGCTGCTCAGTTCCTCCATCTTCTGTTCCCCCAACCCCCAGAGATGTTTAGGATGACTTCTCGCTGGTGAATGTCAGCTGTTGTGGTTGTCTCCTAGGAATGGCATGGCTGAGGGCTTTGTGGTTTGTATCTGAGCAGTTAGGGACTCTTTTGCAGGGGGAGGAAAGAGAGGGGAACTTTGCCTCTACAAAGGAAAGACTAGTGCCTTGTCTCCTGGGTGAGGCTTGTCATTGGGATGGATTCACAGGGGAGCAGGAATGGCAAAATTTATAGGGCCACTGCTCCCAGGGGATGGCCGTCCCTTCAGGGGGTTCCACAGTAGCAGAAAATTCATTATATTTTGGGATCATTTGTTAGTGTCTCATTTATACCATCTGTATGAGAATAAACAGAAGCTGCAAGCAGAGCCTATCATTCCTGGAACAGAATGGGGTCTGGCTTCTATCTCCCAGAGATGGAAGGCTTAGGCAGGGAAATACACAGAAGCCTCTGGAGTGTTTTTCTTGGGGTCTACTGTGGGAATGAATAACTTGGAGGTGAAATCACAGCCTGATAATGAGCATCTAAGCTTCTAAAGATGGATTCTTACTGCATTTGCCAAATTTTGCTCTGCCGTGAATTTGCTGTCATTTGTTCATTCATTTATTCACTTATTTCTTACTTCAACGAGTATTATTGATGACCTTTTCTCCACCAGAAATGATGCTAAGCACTGGGGTCACCAGGGCAACAACCAGCCATGACTCCGGCTTACCACCTGGAATCACGGCCCTGCTGGCCATGTGGCCACATGGTTTGTTTCAGGCACAGTTGTGCCGCGAGGAATAGGTCTTCCTGCTGGCCCCTTCCCTGTTCTCCCTAGAGGAGGTGGGGGGAGACATGCAGCTCATCCACAGGGCCCTGGAGCAGCCTCCCAGCATGGCAGGCTGCAGCTCTCTCTGCATTGCAGATTCCATTCCAGAGGGTGGAGAAAGGGCTGTCTTGCTGCCACTGGGCTCCAGTCCAGCTCAGAGTTGGGGGACCTGAAGACACTGAACACCCACATACCAGAGGTTCCAGGGGCTATTTCTATGTCTGGGATCCCATACAGGGTACCATGGAGTTATTCAGGGAACTTCCTAAACCTGGATCTCCAGGGCAGGTGGAGGGTCATCTGTGCAAGACAATGACCCTCTACTATGGGCTGGTGTCTGAAAGCCCACCATGAGAAAGTCATTCCTTCTGCTGAAGGCATCATTACGTACTGGACCCCAGGAAGGGAAACAAAAAGGGCAGGGTGAGACAGCTTTGGCCTAAAACCCTGGGACCAGGAGCTGAGCCCTGGCTCTGATCCTCTTCAGCTGTGTGACCTTGGGAGGCCATTTAGCCTCTCTGAGCTTTAGTTTCCTCCTGTCAAAATGAGGATGTGGTTTAGATGAGCACAGGGCCTGCTTCAGCTCTAAGACTGTAACTCAATGTGATTGAGTCTCAGATCCTTTTCCGATGGCCCGGGGACACTGGGTGAAGGAGGGAGAGAAAGGATGTAAGCGGGAAGCGTGCTAAGAGGACTGGGTATGGGAGGTACAGTAGGCAGAGCACAGATGGAGGAGCATAGGAGCACAGATAGGCAGAGCACACCACATAAAAATGTTGGGGCAAGCCAGGAAGCTATGGGCAGATGGCTTTATGGCAGATGCAGCAGGTGTGTTGTGGATGAAATGGCAGGCTCACTTCCCATTCCCAGGCACCTTGCTTTAGACACCCTGCTGTAGACAAAGTGATGGCCAGTGGAAGCCTTTGTGCTTGACAGTGCAAATTACTCACATGTGTTTCCCCTTAGAGAAATAGAACTTATTGGGAAATAGACTCTGGACTTGGACAGGGAACCAAATTTCACCTTCAAAAGTGAAATGGAGATGGAGAATATGGCTTGCGCTTGTGGCCAAAACAGGTTCACGAATGCCCCTCTCTGGAATGATCTACACCTGGGAAGCTGAATAGGCGCAGGTGGTCGTGGGTTACCCTCCAAGGCCACTCCTGCAGGAGACAGCCTAAGAACCATGTGGCCATCTGAGTACATTAACTGCCCAACAGAGAGGCATTGTCTGATGGACATCAGATCTTCCCTCTTCTGCCAAATACATCTCTCTCCACGGGAAGAGACAGGTAAAGATGGAAGGATAGGCCAAAGATTTTCCCTCAAGAGTTCTAAGCCAGTGAGGATTTTGATTTTATGACCCTGGGCAGAAAGGTGAGAAGAGGAAGAAATGATTTCCTTTACAGGACTAGAATCCAAGAGAAGTTTTGTACTAACATGCTACTTATTTATTATTATTATTTTTGAGATGGAGTTTTGCTCTTGTCACCCAGGCTGGAGTACAATGGTGCAATCTCAGCTCACTGCAACCTCTGCCTCCTGTGTTCAAGCGATTCTCCTGCCTCAGCCTCTCATGTAGCTAGGATTACAGGCATGCACCACCACACCTGGCTAATTTTTGTATTTTTTAAGTAAAGACGGGGTTTCACCATGTTGGCCAGGCTGGTCTCGAACTCCTGACCTCAAGTCATCTGCCCACCTTGGCCTCCCAAAGTACTGGGATTATAGGCCTGAGCAACTGAGCCTGGCCTTAATTTGCTACTTATAAGGCTGCTTCAAAGCTGAGACTGTACACATCTGACCTCCATATTCCTAGTGTCTGCTGCCTCATAGTATGTGGTCAGTAACTGGATGGATGGGTAGGGAGGAGGAGCCCTTTAAGGAACTGGCTTTATTGGCAGACCAGCTTTCTTCACTGCCATCTGTGTCTTGAAGTGACCATTTCTTTACCCATGAGCTTCCCTCAGTAAAGGGAGGAAGCATTCCCTTGGTGTTGACCTGCCTAATTTACATCCTTCTTCCATGTCTGAATGTCTTCCCGTGTATACCTTTTGGGTCTGGCAGAGCCAGAATATGTGTTTGCTCTGAGAATGAAGAGACCATGGAGGTGGCCGGGCATGGTGACTCACACCTGTAATCCCAGCATGTTGGGAGGCAGATCACTTAAGGTCAGGAGTTCGAAACCAGCCTGGCCAACATGGTGAAACCTCGTATCTACTAAAAATACAAAAATTATCTGGGCATGGTGGCAGGTGCCTATAATCCCAGCTACTCGAGAGGCTGAGGTAGGAGAACTGCTTGAACCTGGGAGGCGGAGTTTACAGTGAGCCGAGATTGTGCCACTGCACTCCAGCCTGGGAAAAAAAAAAGCAAAAGAGACCATGGAGGAATTTTCTGGTACTGGGTTCCACAGGGAAAGGACATGCTAATTAATGCCACCTGCTTTGCCTCAGTCTCTTTCTCATAGATATTTCACACACTCACCTTTAACTTTGATTGGTTTCATCTCCTATTCAGGGTGTCTTAACAAGTATGCAGAATAGGATGTGTGATTGAGGGGAGGCACCATGCCAGACCAAAAATAGCTTCCTCTGAAACAGGTGCAAAGGTGCTTGAGGTTCCGCTGTTATAATTCACTCTCTTCGGAGACTGTATGCTGCCGTTTACATCCCAGCTCCACCAGTTTTAACTGTGTACAACCTCGAGTGAGTTATCATTCTAAGCTTGGCTACTTCCTCTGTGTAATGACCTCTGATCCAGCCTAATAGGACTGGCGGCAGGATTACCGTGGGGCTGGCACATAGCACATGCTGAATACATGTTGCCGACGACTGGGTCAAGCATTGCCTGCAAAATAAAGGCAGACACAAACAAAAAGAAGAAGAAAAAACAAATTAAAAAAAAACAACAACAAAGAAAAGGCAGGCACTCCGGGCAGTGCCAAGGGTGACCTTGTTGTGAGTGAATTGAACAACTTTTCCTCTATAACAGGAAGGACTTCATGGCAGGAAAAGCAGCTGGGTGGGAAAGGGATTCAGGGGAACATTGGTGAAAGAAGCGACAGTCATGGGAAGATGAGGGACATGAGTCCCCTTGGAGCCCCTAACCTGGCTGACTGGCCTGCTCTTTTCCTGCCCACTCCAGGTTGGCCTGCCACTCCTCCTGCTATGATGCCTGGGCAGATCCCGGACCCTTCGGTGACTGCAGGCTCCCTGCCAGGGCTTGGCCCCCTGACTGGACTCCCCAGCTCGGCCCTGACCGCGGAGGAGCTGAAATACGCTGACATCCGCAACCTCGGGGCCATGATCGCACCCTTGCACTTCCTGGAGGTGAAACTGGGCAAGAGGCCCCAGCCCGTGAAAAGTGAGGTGAGCGAGCCTCGTTACCCCTGGCAGATTCCAGTCTGGCCCTAAACCCACCATGGAACCTTAACCTTAATGGTCAAAGTGTGATCTGAGGACCGGTAGCATCCATACCATCCTGGGGCTTATCAGAAATGCGGAATCTCAGGCCTCACCCCAGGCCTTCTGAATCAGAATCTGCATCTCAACAAGATTCCCCAGGGATTCATGGACATATTAATGCTTGAGAAGCACTGGGCCAGGGGAGGACGTTCAACCTGTCTCTGGTTCTCCAAGGGGCAGGGGAAGAGTGATAACAGTAATGAATAGCAATATCTCGGCCATCTCTCCGGGGTGGTGGGAGGATGGGGGAAAATGGGAATGTGGACATGTTTTAAAAAGTAGACAAGAGAATGCCAATATTAGGTTATCTTTTAAAATTGTTATCATTACTTACATCATGGCCTCCACCCCTCTCGGCCCTTTCTGCAGCTGAACCAGGGAAATTGGAAGAAGAGTAGTGTGGCCTCCCTTCCCAAGCAGTTGCCAGAGCTGAGCATGGCCTCAGTCAGCCAGCAGCATCTGCCTTAGATGGCATTTGCCAGGGACCCACATGTGGAGCACCCACACATGGCATTTGCAAGGGACCCCTCCTCAGGTCCCTTGCACCTGCAGCTCTCATGAGCCCTTTTCTAGGGGCACTGGTGAGCAGCGGAAGTCCCGGCATGGCGGAGGATCCATGCAGGGCATGCTCCATGGCCACTTGCCCAGGTCTGGCCGTTTGTCTGAAGGCCTGCTCCAGCAAGGTTCCAGCAGGGCCGTTTCTTCAGAGGCCTGCTGGAGCAGCTGCCCCCTGGAAAGGAGAGGGAGCCAGTGGTGGCAGGTGGGGAAGAGGCTGGGACTGGGAGGGTATGGGAAACAGCTGAGCATCTGGGAATGGCGGCTGTGCCTGGAGGGAGGATTCACAGGCAAAGGTGAGCCTGGGCGGACTGGGAGGGCTGAAGTGCTGGCAGTGCTGGAGAGGGGGCCTTCTGCCTGGAGGAGGTTGTCTGGGTACCCGCAGGCGAGCGCTGGGATAGTAGCAGCTATTTCTCAGCTCCCCTTCTCCTGACAGGGGCCTAAAAACTGCAGAGAACTGTTGGGGACTTGGCCATAGTGGCAGACTGGCTGTTTGCAGGCTGGACCTGGCTCTCTGATGTATTTTGTTTGGCTAGCTCTGTGTTTTTAAAAAAATGCAAACCCACATTTCACTTAAAATTTTTTATCAAAAAATAGGAAGATCTCGTCACCCACTGCCCTGTTCCGGCATGGCAATGGCTAAATGCGGTGGACAGAGGCATGTCACTGCTTCCTCTCTCCAGTGGGACACAGGCCTCTGCACCTCCCTGTTATTCTTGATCCTGCTTATATTGTTGGTTTTGCTTCTGCTGCTACCATCTGCCTTCATTTTCCCCTACTGCCTGCTCCCTGTAGCCATTTGTGCTCACGACGCGTGAATGAGGTCCATCATAGGTGCCTACTAAACACTGTGAATTAGAAGATGCGAGTTGACTGTGATTCTATTCTTGTGAATTGATCTTGTAAACCAAAGTGTTGTCGGAGCCCTTCCCAGCTTATTTAGTATTCTCTCTTCATGATGGAGGGTCTTTGCCTTTTGGCCCTCTGCTCCTCACCTTCCCAGGTCTGTGACTTGAGAGCATCTGTTTCTGGGTCATTCCACAGTAAAATTGCCATTTAGAGCCAGTAGCTGAGCAGCTTCATGGGGGCACTAAGGCTATGTGTGGGTTGATGAGGATCCAGGTGTCTTGGGCAGAGGTGGCCAAGCTGGGATTCGCCTGGGGGGCTGAGTTACTGCCTCTCTCCTCTGCAAGAGGCACTGGAGGAACTCTTTCCTTTTTTTTTTTTTTCGGAAAAGCCACTTTTATTTGGGTTGGGTATTTTTACATCTTATAGCCACCCCCAAATTGGTGGCATCTGCCCTGTACCCGACAGTGATGCGCTGTCCTCACAGGCACCCACAGACGTGCACCATCCAGGCCGTGAAAATAACAAGCCATTTTTAGGGCATATTTGCATGTCCTCTTCCTTGCTGTCAGACTGCAGTGCTATGGGGGCGAAGAGGCAGATGGAGCTGTGAGATTGTACCGATGGAGAGGGATACCAGCCCTGCACTGCGAACCGACCTCCAAATGCTTCCTAGGTCAGATCCCAGGGGCGGGGAGAGCTAATTCTTGGAGTAACTAAAACCTAAAGCGGGGCGGGGAAAGAAACTTGCAACTGAAGAATCTATGGTCCAAAGATTTATTTGCATATGGCAAACCGCCTTGAGTGGATTTTCTTACTGGCATTTTGGACTAGCAAAAGTTTCTTGAATAATAATCAGATACTAGCTCATTAAACATTTAATATGTACCAGGCCCTGCGCAAAGAGTTTAACATACATGACTTCATTCATTCCTTATTCAGTCCTGGAGTGCAGGTTATCCCCATATTAAAGAATAATTTGAGGTTTAGGGAAGGGATTCCGTCACTCAGGGTCACACTGCTGTGATGTGATAGCGCTGGGGCCTGTTGTGGTGGACGATACGGCCATTGCAGCCAGGTCTCACTTGTGCAGAGCTAAGTCCTAGGCACAGTACTAGGCTCTCTTTGTGAAGTACCTTGTTTACCCTGCACAAGCACCCTATGAGGTAATTAGTGTTGTCGTGGTCATACCCACATTACAGATGAGATCAACAAGACTGAGGGAGGTTTGAGGTCACTAGCTGGGAAATTAGCTCAGGCAGTCTGCCTTGAGCCCAAACTTTAACCACGTGCTGTGTGGCCTGCCATGCCTCTATACCCCTTCCCGGCTTCTAACCAGAGCTTGGTTGGGCTGGACAGGCTGGATGAACCTGGCCCCAGAATATTCGATCATTTCGATGACATTGCCCAATGAGTGCTGAACCCTGCAGTTCTGCAGCCTCATTTTCTCCTAGCCGAGAGAGAGAGAGAGAAAGAGAGAGAGAGAGAGAGAGAGAGAGAGAGACAGAGAGCGAGCATGCATACCGGCTGAGCCGCTGTGTAGGCAGCTCTGTCAGAGCTCGCTCTTGGGCTGTTCACCTTGCAGGGGTCAGCAGTCACCTGGGTCGTGTCCAAATGCACGGAACAATTCAGTAAAAGAAAATGGGAGGAATTAAGTTCAACGGCAGGTTTTGTGAATAATAAAGTGCTTTGTGCTGATGTCATTATTACTATATGGTCGACTCATGACGTTAAACTGTTTTGGTGCCAACTGCTTGCCTGCAGTCCGTTTGTTCAAGCCATGTTCCTTAAGCACTTTGCTATGTGCTGAGCGCTGCACCAGGCACTGGGAACCCAGCTGCAGACCAAGCCTTACATCTCTCAGCACTGCATATTGTAGTGAGGGCATCACAATATATAAGGTCGGGTAGTTGTCAGCACCATGAAGAAAAATTAAGCAGACTAAGGGCATGGCATTGGCAAGACCGCTCATTCTGATGGTTGGCCAGGGACTCTGGGAATGTTATTTCCTGGGTTATGGGATTTTTAGAGATGTTGCTTCTTTCTCGCCCCTTTCTCCTTTCTTTTCTCATATTCCCTTTCAGGACAGCTTTGCTCCCTGGCTTTCTCCCGAGATTTCCTTCCTTGACTTTTCCTCTGTAGCCCCTCTCAGCTGGACTCCTCAACAAACCAGTCCCGATTGGCCTACAGATCTTGGCCCTTCCCAGGTCATCTCCCAGTGAGCCGTGGCTATGGTGGCCACACCCTGTCTCTGGGTCTGGAATGCATTTTCAGTTGGGAGTGGAGGGAGGCCTGAAGCCCCATCCTTGCGCACGCGCATACACACAAAACACTTACTGATCAACCTGCTAGACAGGACCCCTCACCTTCTGGCTACCTCTCAGTGCTCTAGAGGGGACTCAGGAGTTCAAGGAAGGCTAAACTGGATGACCTTTCAGGAAAGAGGCTGCAGACTGTCATTCCGGGGGCAGGAGTCGGCCTGCAGATGAATCTTGTTCACAGGGTGGTTTTCTTTTTCTTTCTTTTTTAACAAAATCACAGTGTGGTTTTCTTTTTCTTTTTTAAAAAATTGAATGAATTGCTATATTTAAAAGCCAGGAAGTGTGGACTCTCTGGCTTCTTTTAAAAAACCAGAATATCTAGCCACATCAGGCCACACCCTTATATGCAGCAAGAGGTCGGAGCTGAGGAGCAGATGCCTGCTGTCGTGTGTACAGTCTTGGGTTCACTGCAGTCCCCACTACTTGCTGATGTCCTGCCCGCATCCCACTTCACACTGTCTGTATTACCAGTCTGATTTTGAGTCTGTGACCCATGTTCAGGTCCCACAGACCTTGCTTGTTGGCTTGAACATTATTAGCTGTGTTAGCAAGTCGCTTAAACTTTTTTTTTTTTTTTTTTTTTTCTTCACTATCCAGTTGTGCCTCTGAGTTATAACTCAAAATGTATCATTACACACTGGGCTTAAAAGACTCATCGTTTTTGTTTTAATATTGCACTTCTTGAACACAGCTATCACAGCACATCACGAGCCTTTGACACAAGGCTAGGATATAGATAGCTCGGTTAGTATCAAGGGCTGGTGGCTTAAACTTTCTATCCCTTGATTGCTCTATCTCCCAATTCTCATCTCCAGCTAATCGTTTCATTAGGTTTTTCTATTTCTGAATTTGACTTCAGGCAGAAAAAAAAGAAAATACAACAAAAATCAAACCAACCATTCCCAAACTTGGCTGGTCATCAAAACACCCTGGGAAACTTCTTAACATAGATTTCCAGACCCCACTCCAGGCTGATGGAATCAGAATCTCCGAGGATAGAGTCTTGGGAATCAGTACAGCTAATAGGCCCAGAGATGACTCAGCTACTTTTGGGAACGTGACTAAACGGTTTCTTCTGATCCTTGTCAGGGAGCTTTCTGAGGGTGTCACCCTAAGGAATTGGTGCGTACGTATCACTATGGACTGCTCTTTCCAACGTAGGGCAGTTCCCTGTGTGTATTC